GTCGTCCACTGATGAAGGCTTCGAGGATAGTCGTTCTGGAGATTTTACTAGATCTCCGCCGCTGTCGCAAGTACCATTTATCGATTTTCGTAAACCAAAAGAGAATCGCCGTGAAGAAGTAATTTACTTTTATACAAGAACGTATCATAATATTAAATATATATATTGTATATCTAAATTGTTTTATCTTTTACAGAACTCGCGAAAGATAAGAAGTAGAGGCGAAGAATTATTGGAAATGATAAAGCTGGACTTTATGGAATGGTCATTATTAGAATGCAATCCTATACCTTATGATGAATTCATAAGAAACTACGGGAAATTAAATGCGCAACAAGTATGTTATTATATATATAAAACACTTTATGATAATTGTACCATGATCGATTGAGTATTATATACTGTTTTTTATAGGTGTTTATCCAAACCGGCGACGATAATATGGACATTGAGATACAAACGGACGAAGTGCCTTGTAAGAACAAGTGGACGCAATTTCCTGTAACTTGTAGAAAAGAATTGCATGATAAACGAGATATAAATTTATTTAAAATGGTAATAGTTTACATTATTGTCTATAAAAGCACGGCAGTGTCTCGCGCCATGTCTTAGCGCCGAAATACACTACTGTATTTCCAGATATTGATAAGTATAAGTCTGAACGTTCTAAAAATTTGCAGGAGCAAATAGGCGTCGGAAATGATTTGGACGAAATGGATGATATAAATTTCTTGTCACAACCATTGTACGATGTATTGCGCTTAAATGATTTTCTTAATCGCGCAGGCGCGGTTGTATTATCGTTGTTGGAAGAGAGAGAACATGGTGGCACGGTTTTTCAAAATGATGTGGACGACTTAGCGTTCAGTGATGGTTTCGTGAAGCTCTCTGTAGATACAGTAACATTCTTAGCTACCAGATCAGTTAAGATTATACATTATTCAAATGTTTTAAATAAAGTTCTGCTCACCATTCACGTTCCTGTGGAAGAGGTACGTGTCTGTTCTACTATTTAATTATAAAACAAATTAATTAGTTCAAAATAGAATTAATTTGTTGAACAGGAGTTAGAAACCATAAATAAACAAGATTACATCACTGATTGTTGTATCGGATGCGTTTGGAATATTTCCGAACCTTCGATGCCGAAGAAATTATTCTATTCGCAGTGTCCTATTACGGCTTGTTGCTTTCATTTAACGAATTGCAACACGGTATTTGCCGGACTCGAGGATGGGTATGCAACTTGAGTTTTCTTTAAAGCTCTTTCATAGTTTTTGCAACAATTTAAATATAATTCATCAAATATATTTCAATATAAAATATTAAAATTAGATCGTTGAGTCTCTGGGACCTTAAGGAGGATGAGATGTGGCATCAGAAGATTACGGATAAAGCTAACGAGTTAGATTGGGTGATCAGAACGCCTACTTACACGACAACGGCAGAGTTAGATGCACATACATCGCAAGTTGTTGCGATACGCGTACTGTCTAAGATCGAGACTATCTGTACTAAAGAAAGAAGCAATAAGTTTATTTCTATTCAGGTTGTCATTATATTACAGTATTGATCGATTGATATACAGTATTAATCTGTTAGGATTTAACTCTACTAATCCACGCTTATTTTTAAATTGCTTTGATAGATATGTAGTTTAGACGAAGATGGTTGCCTCATAATATGGAGTATTTTGCACAACATGGGTATGAATATAGATGATTTAGGACTTTCTCATTGGGGTAACATAAGACTTATAAAGAATCAGAAAATGTTTTTGATGAAGAAAGACTCAGAAATGTAAATAAAATAGATTTGAGACGTGTTTTTGGAAAGCTCGGTACATGTCTGAGATTCCTCTAATTGCTCGATTTTCTTTTAGAATGAACATGTTTGTCGATATGCATGTAGACAGTGCAAACACAAACAATATTTATATTGCAACTAACAGTACTGATATCTTGCATACTACTTATATTGGTAATAGAACTAATCCATTAACATACAAACCAGCTGAGATAAGTGAGTGAAAATGATATTGTTACTTCGATGTATGCGTCAAACGTGTATTGTGTGTAACATCAAATTTATTTCAATTAAATATTACAGGTAAATGCGGTACTTCAACTTGCATTGATGTTTGTCCTTTTAATCAATCCTTTTTCTGGGTAAGACTTCTTTCATCGTTTATTTTAAAAGCTTTATTCTTATTTTAATTTGATTTTCATCAGGTTGGCTGTAACGACGGAACAATTCGACTTCATTATTTAAATATAGAGAGACCGATCGTACAATTGAAAAACGAACAATATTCGGACGAGATTAAAACATTGCAATGGTCGAAAACGAAACCGTTGACTGTATATACTCTGGATAATAGTTCTCGGTAAAGTATATCTTTCGTAAAATGAATAAAATTGCAAATAAAATAAGATGAAGCAATTACAAAACTTATTAATAGAATTCATTTAATAGAATTCACGTATGGGATTTGAGTAAGAGTGATATCTGCCCTATATATATATTACCTATGGGAAAGTGGGGAAAGATAAGCAGCATGCAGCTATCTCCTTGCATAATAGATCAAGATATGACGAATCAATATTTGGTGAGTTTAAAAAGTTAACATCTTAAACTCGAAAGAGATTTTTCTATGTTATAAATTTAAATATATATTTTTTTAGGCTATTGGTATGGAATCTGGTAACATAGAAATACATAAATTGAAGAAAGATTTCTATTACTCAAAGAAAGAGGAATTTTTACAAGAACTAAACATATTTTCGCGATACGTTTCAATATCATAAATGAAAATAGATATATTAATAAAGTGAGAGTACAGGCATTAATAATTTTTTTAGAATTACAATTGTTATTTCCGAAAATTGGATATAGAAAGATTCACAGATTTTATACTTCCAGTGTATACGTGCACTTGCAATTATTGCAATAGATAATTAAGATGCTAGTCACAGAAAGTAATATTTACAAGGGAATGATTGGAATTGTCCCTCACCGATTTTGATAAACTTTGGATATGTTGTAGAGCATAAAAAAATATTAGATTCATATTTTTTTGTTTGTGCTTATCTCGAGGTTTAGAAGGTGAAACAATCCCTCAAAAATAATGGATTATATCGTATTATATCGTATATTTTTCTTAAATATCTTTTAAATTATGAGGTATATCCAAAAATATTTTATATAAAAGTTACATAGTTTCTTATGCTCTATATAATGCATAAAAAGACATGTTGCAAAAATAAATTTTTATGTATTTATAACAATTTGTTGTAAAATTGATTTTTGCAACGTCTTTTATGCCGTTATATAGAGCACAAGAAACTATATAACTTTTTCATTATTTTTGACGGGTTTCACCCCCTAAATCTCGATATAAGCTTAAATAAAAAATATGGATTTAATATTTTTTCATGCTCTATAAAACATATTCAAAGCTCATTAAAATCGATGAGGGATAATTCCGACCGTTCCTTTGTTAGACATACAAGTTGAAATTCGTGCTCTTGATTAATGAGAGATAGAGTTTTAGAGTTATTCCGAAATTGTAATTTGTAAGATTTTCAAGGTAATATTTAGTAATTGTCTTTGATAACTTTGAATAATATTGAATTTTCCCAATGTACAATCAAGTATATTAAATTGTTATAATTTTATATATCTTATTATATATAAAACGAATGAGATTTTTATGCACTTATTTGTATCTTTCTATAATATAATAATACACAATATTCCGTCCAGGGAAAAAAGTATCAGAGATAATAGATGTAGAAAAAAAATAGTATTCATAATATATTTATACATACATTTACATAGTGTATCGTATATAAAACATTTATATAAATAAGGACAAATGATAAGATTATATAGTTGAAATATACATAAAATTTTATACATAGCCTAGCCGATTTGATATCGAGCTTTTTTATGTAGGTAATCCATTATTGATAATGTAATTGAGATATGATTTTATTTTAAAAATAAATATAGAAAAAATTTTCATAAAAGAACTGATTTGTTTAATAACAGTAATTATTTAACATCAATCATTCTGCTTCAATATGTTTGATATAATTATTCAACTACTTCAATAATAACTTTCGAGATCTATTAAATAATTTTTATCAAGTAATCATTATTATTATTAAACAATTATTTCTGTCATTAAGCTTGGATAATTTTCAAATTATCTTTTTACACAATCATTTACAATTTAAATAACAATTACACAACTAAAAAAAATTACATATCCTAGCCAAAGAAATAAAAAATTATTGAAGTGTTGAACGAGGATACATATATAAACTAAAATAATATGTACATACGTATATGTATGTATATTATAGCCTATTATATTCAGAACGCTTTTATTGATAAAAACGCGGTTTTATTTCTAAAATTCTTTAATATGCATAATAAAAAATAATGATTGCGTTCAGCAGGACACAATAGTTTTGCAACCGTTTATGATTGTCTGCTGAGATAGGATAATTCTTTTAGATCTAAAAATATAATCTAAGCAGCGTGAAGAAAAACTTCCAATAGTTGCAAAATAAATAAATAAACGTTCTGCTGAACGCAACCATAGTATGTGGCGCGCTAATCATCGTTGTAAGCGTGTTTTGAATACAGGTCTATATGTATATATACATATAATGTATGCACACACGTATATATTATATTATGTATGCATATATATATATCATGCATGTATTATACACATAATATAAATGTATACAAAGAAATATAAATATAATATATGTAAATATAATATATGTAAATATATTATATACAAATGCTTTAAAAAATTATTCATGTAAATTATTATTCATAATAACTTGGACAAATATTTAAAGCATATATATTAAAATTGTTAAATTGAAAATTTATGTTTTTTATAAGAATTTTTACATTTGTCATAGTAATTGCTGTTTAATTATCTTTTGACATATGGCATTGTATTATTGAAAATTATGTAAACTTAATTAATTTGTTAATTATTTAATTGTTCAAGCTCCAAATTTGATTTTCTCGAAAGTAAAACTGCTTAAAAAAATTTATCTTTTTATGCGAAATTATATTACGTCACCAATAATGAACTATCCTATTTATATGACATTGTATAGAGAGCATAATCTATCCATCCATCGTCAACAGTAATCCAATAATTTGTTTAGAGTGAAGATTATAATCATGTATGGGAAAAGAATCTCTGGACGAGAAATCCATGCACTAGCAGCATTGCAAATTTCTTGTTTCACAAACTCTTCTATAATTTCATCGTAACTGCGTCCCTTTAATGTTTGATGACCGTATAGCTGTAAGTAGCGTGTGCCATCCTGCGATAAGAAAATTTATATTTATTATTGTACTCAAATGCAATCGTATTTACTTATTATATGTCACCGTTGCATATTTTACTATCGAAAAAATAAAATAACATCGTCATAATTTTTTTATATACGAATGATACATGCGTGACACTTTCGCGTAATTCCAATTCGAGATTCCAATTAAAATTCACCAGTATTTGGCTTTCGTTCGACGGACGCTTTAGGAGATTTTTGCAAAAAAAAATGTTAAAAGGCAATGAAAATCCTGAAACACACGATACTGATACAATGTGCGATTATTGCACCTGGATTAGTAAAATCTTGGCCAGAATTGGTGCCGAGGCTCAAATCAAGAAAAAGAAGAAAAAGGGAGTAAATCCGGTTATCATTGTTCATGGAGGTGCTGGGAGAATACCTCGATACGCACAGAAATTTATGCTTGACGAGGTTAAATTATTCACTATTCACATTACACACTTTAAACAACACAAGATTCTAGGAAAACAACTTTGTGCACAGCCCCAAAAAAGTCTATAATACAGACATTACTTCAGTATTACTTAAATAGCACTTTTTCAATATTTTAAGATTATATCGTTTGAGAAAATTAGGAAAAGATCATTTTTTATAGAAACAATAAAAATATTAATAAGATTGGAAATAAGACCGTTTATGTTAGATACATTACTTTAAATACGAAGCGCCACAGTCTGAATATTAAGATGTTGAATTTTTATATACATTCATTTAAATGAATTAATTTCAGAAATTATAATTGCATGCCGATAATTAGTTGTCGAACTTTTCATGCAATCAATCTGAAATATTAATAATCCTCCCAAATTTCCCAAATTTAATCTTAAAAAACTGTAATAAACTTATTGCGAAAAATATTGCCTCGGCCAGGAGTAAATTTATTACTTTTTTAAGATTAAATTTGGGAAATTTGGGGGAATTATTAATATTTCAGATTGATTGCGTTGAAAGTCCGACAACCATATCGGCACGCAATTATAATTTCTGAAATTAATTCATTTAAATATATATAATAGTTCAACATTTTAACATTCAGACCGTAGTGGCGCTTCGTATTTAAAGTAATAAAAATATTGTTTAATAATGAAAATAGTAATTATTAATATTTATGAATTAGGTAAAGAAAGCCGCAATAACGGCGTATCACGATCTAACTAAAGGATGCTATTCTCTGGATGCGGTTGAACGTGCAATTTGTCATATGGAGAGCAAAAAATACTTTAACTGTGCATACGGAGGCTCCTTGGATGCCAATGGAGAGGTCGTGATGGATGCCGCGATAATGACGAATGATCTTCGCATAGGTTGTGTGGGTGCCGTTCGTAATATAGCACATCCTATAACATTAGGTCTGTCTTTCTTAGCAAATCGCTTAAGAAACCGCCAAAGAAATGATTGATTATGTTTATTTATGACCTGCTTAAATTTCAATACTTCACACTCTTGTAGCCAAAATGGTCTTACAACAAACGGAACATGTGTTGATAGTTGAAGCTGGAGCCCAAAAGTTTAGTTTGGAATCAGGCATTCCTATTTTATCACCTGACCAGTTGATCGTTATGAAGACAGCTTTGCACGAAGAAGGAAATAACGGTAAAGGATAGAGAAAATGAACTATAATTTTAAAAATATTAATCGCGATACTGATGAATATAAGAAGCACAAGATACGAGAAAGACGCAAGAGCTTCTAGACGATGGGGACAAACAATCCAATAAAAAAGAATGCATACCGGAATGTGTAATTGAAAGAGACAACGAGGAAAGTGCTACTCTCGAAGTCGCTGAGATAGACAAATCCTTGGAAATTGAACCTGATTTTATACAGGTTAATAAATTTATCATAATGACGAATTACATAATGGAATATTCAAACAAAAATATAATTTTCAAATTTTTTTAGATTTATCTTTATCTAGCGTTTTCTCTTGGCTGCACTATTGCCCACTAGTGCAACACTCGTTTCCATGGATAAAACTGCAGTGTAGTGCAAATTTTATGCACGAAGTGGGATTTTGTTACATCGTCTCAAAAGGATGTAGAGCGACCAGTGTGACATTTAAAATTTGAAAATGGAAGTCAAGCGGGAACAGGATTTTAGCATAATAATGATGTAATGTACATCATGCTCAATAAGCAAGAAACATTTTGGACCATTTCAGCAACATTGCTACAATGTTGATGAAATGTTTCAAAATGTTTCTTGCTTATTGGGTGATATGTACCACTCTAATGTAATGTAGTTCAGTTGTAGCGCTTACACGCAACCGGTATGATGCGATGCTGCACTCAGCGTATCCCAAGAGAAAACGCTATAAAATTTCCTAAATTTCAGATATTTTAAATACAAACTCGTATCTGTAATAACCTTTATATATATATATATATATA